TTTGGGCTTTTTGTTTGCTTTGTTTTGTGAAGTGGTGGCTGTCTTCTAATTCTGCTTCCTTGCTTGCTACACTGTTGGGATTCCCCTGGTAATCAGCTGGGCTGTGCTGAAACTACCCTGTGGGTTTGCCACCTGCTGTCCTTGCTTTGTGAAATGTGCCTCCAAGTCCTGGGTGCTGCCACTGGCCGCAGCTGCCGTGGGGCACGTTCCAGAGTAAGCTGGTGAATATGCCTGCTTTGAGAGAGATTTCATTTTTTCCTGGGGTCCTAGAGAGCAAGCTTATCTCAGACACACCTTCACATCTTTTATACATGGTCAGGAAGTACTTTGAGGAGGATTTAAGTGTGTGTTGCTTGATTCACTGTTCTAATGCCAGTGATTTAAAATGTGCCAAACGAATGCACAAGCCTTCAGATGGGAGTTTGCTGACGGGTTTCTGGCTTCATTCAGCACAGGATGAGAACCAAGCAATTATGCAGGTTATATATGAGACACTTATGGTTCTAGGCAAGACACAGCAGCTATGATGCAGCAGTGTCAGTAAGGAGAGTTCCGAGAGGTGCAGAAAGCCAAAAATGCTTTGCAGAGAAGGGAGAGCTGCTGTGGGAGGTGGAGGGGCTGTGGCAAGCCCCAGTGCTGGGGGGTGGACGCTGGCAGTCGGCGGGGGACTTCAAAGCTGACAACTGGCTTCTCATCCTTTCAGAGAAGGCAAATTTGAATGCTACAATCCTGCTGCTTTCACATTGAGTGTTTTGCCTTCTGTTTGATACTTTGCTCTCCAATAACCAAAATATTTAGCTTACCCACTGGCTGAACATCCTGTTGCGCTCGCTTGAACGATGCTGCGTTTTTGAGGTTTCTGTAATGTACTTTTTCCATGCTTATTTTATTGTGAAAATTGCAAAGGTGGGGAAAATCTGTTTGGACCCTAAATGGCCAAAAGGTCAGTGAGGTTTTCCATATCAAATTGCTGGGTTTGAGTTTCCTTCAAGTCGAGAGCTGCAGAGCCGGACGGTGGGGGTGCCATCAGATGATTACTGTGGTTAAAACAATAGAGAATGGGGATCTGAAAGTTTGTGGTCGGTTGTAGCTGAAAAACAACTACTTGTGCTGCTCTGGACCTCTCTGTGAGGGCTGGTGGTGCCTTTAAAGAGGATGGCTGTCTGCACTTTATGGTTTATCTGTTGCTTGAGCTTTGGCTGCTTCTCTTAAAGTACGGTCCATGCATCGGTACACAGCAGCAGTTCGTGTGTGTACCTGTGGCAAGTCAAACAGATTGAGCTTCTAGGGCTTATGTGACTATAAGCCATGTGGCTTGCCCAAGCCCAGCAGCATTTTGGAAAGCATTTAAGATCTTGTCAGAAGGTCAGCAGACTCACAATTTCATTGAACACATAACTTGGTCTGTTCTTCACGTGTAGTCTCAATTTCTCTCTCCATGCTCCCCGTTTAGGACACGGATGAGGAAGACCCATACTGATGGAGGAGTGAAGCTATGGATAATGAACAACATCACAGCACTGAAAATCATGGCAAGATAGGTACCAGTGCTGCTGGATAACCAGTGCAGATTGAAGGACCTGCTCTGATCTTAGTAGATTGGAAGAATGATTGCTGATGGGATAAGTCACTTTTACCTAAGCACAGAATAATGATTTTGGAAATCTTTCTAATATATTAGGAAAAAACAAAACCTTCTTAACCTCACTTCTCCAGTGCCTGAAGAAACCTCAGTGCCTCCAGCCGTGCAGCCTGTCTCCTGCCAGCAGGCTGACAGTGCCTGTTTCTTAGTTTACTTGCAAAGTTGTTTCCTTTATTATTGGTGCATCCCTCCTTTCCCGTGCCCTTGAATTTGAGTTGCCCGAAGCACAGGCTACTCCAGACTGATGTCAGCTCTCTAGGGTGATTATCACTGCGTGTTGACAATGTTTTCTTCTCATCCCTTTTTTTTTTATAATGTATTTGTGAAGAACTTAAACCAGATTAAGTTGGTATATGGTGTCCTTTGTCTTGAAGCAAAGAGAACCTTCCGCTTTTTAACTGTTTCTTGGTTTAATCTGCCACTTAATTCCAGGATCACCATTTTATCCCTCCTGTTTTCTGATTCTATTTTTAAGTCACCAGCTGCACAGCTGTGTTACCTTCACTTGAGCTTTCTCTTTACTTTCTTCTTTTCATGTGTCCAACAGCTGCAGTACTAGGTACATCTTCTGAAGTGAAACACAATTCATCTAAAGCTAATTTTTGAAAATCAGAAATGCAAATGGGGACTCTGTATCCGGGGAAACACAACCCCATCTACCTCAGCCATCGACTCGAGCAATGTCCACAGGGATGTTCTGTGTTCAGGACAGTCGTGTTCCTCCACTCTGTCTGGGTACCACGTTAGGGAAACAGCTAAACGTGCATCATTACTGCCTGGTAAGGAAGAGTGCTTTCCCTTTCACCAGCCTTGTCCAGTAGTGGCTGGCAGAGAGCACTGGAATTCATGTCTGGTCAGTGCCTAGGCAGCTGCTGTTTTCTGCTTCCTTTCTGTAAATGCCATTGGTCAAATAATTCTCCTTTTACACATGTTACAAGTTTACTGTTGGTTTTGATGTGCCTTTACCAATAAAATGCTTTGCTTCATTCTGGGCTGAGGATTTTTTAATTTGGCTAAAAACAGCTAAATGTGGTTGCACTCATAAAAGTGCCATCCTAAGTTGCTGCTTAGCTATAGAAATTGTCATGTGATGATGGGCAAAGATTTAAGACATCCTGAGTCCCTCTTTAGCAGCTCTGTGGTGGCTGCCTGTTACAGGTATGTTGAAGTTCCTGATGGCAAATCTGATTAGCTGTAGGTCTGTGCTTCCAGGGGAAGAAATATCTTTTTTCTGCTATGAAGTAATATTTAAAAACCTTTTGCTTCCTTGTGACACACTGTCTCTCCCAACCAAAACTTTCCTGAGAAAGGATGTTGGTGCAGCCTAGAGGAAGTGGTTTTGTTGTTCCACTTTCAGCAGTAATACATCACTCAGGTTCTTTGTGGAAATTAATTACTCGTGTTTTCTGCAAAGTGTTTGCCTTCAGCTGCAGCTCCCCTGCAGATGCTGGGCTAGAGCCCAGGCAGGTGTCTCTCTGGTGCAGAGCTAAACAGCCCCCTCGGGGCCAGTGGGGTGCTGGTCTGGGAGTGGTGTGGAGCAGGAGCCCCTGCTGGTGCTGGTCCTGTGTGGGTGTTGCTCTGCGTGCCAGCAAACCAGATACCAGGGTAGAGAACACTGATTGCTGTGGTGCTCCAGAGGAAGGGGAAAGATGAAAATACATTTTGAAAGGGGCTTGTGGGGCACGGGGGTGTGCCACTTGAGGGCTGCATATCTTGTAAGATGTGTTGAGAAGGGAGCAGCTGAGCACGCTGTGGAAAGCACGTTGGCAGTGGCCCTTCTGCCCTGAGCTGCCCCCCGGCCCCGGTGGCTCTGGCAGTAAGGCTCAGCAGAGTTCCTGGGTGTCACTGGCACCTCACTGGGACGAGACTCAGCCTGCAGGAGTGCTGGCTCTAACCAGCTCTGGTCCCCAAAAACAAACCAGCAGGAAGCACAGGCCGCAAAAGGGGTGCTTGCCAAGAGTCAGCCTGTTGACCTGTCACACAATGGCTGATAGGGTCAGTCTGCTGTGATGGAAGCTGCACCTTGTACCTGTGACCCGTTGTCTTCTCCTGAAGACTTCTCATGAAGACCTATGTGTTGCAAAGACTTGTGTCTTGTCCTGCATACCCATCTTCTGCTCTCAGGCACACACATCCACAGTTCTCTGCTGTCTGTACCAGCCCCTTCCCCGCTCTGATTTGTCGGTACCTCCATCTAGCTCTTAACTTCCCCTTAGCAAGCTGAGAGTGACCACCAAAGTGAACTTGATGTGAGACTCGAAACCAAAGTGGTAAGTAAGACAAATGTCTTGCATGTACAACCTCAAGATGATTTAGCAACTGAATCAGATACTCCGAATTAGTCACTGAAGAGCCCTTCATGCAAGAGACAAGCTGACTGCCCCAGGCCACGCTAGGTGAGTAACTTTGGCTGCAGTATTGACCTTTTCTCTTCTCAGAAAAAAAAAAAAACTAGGAAAGCATGAAAGTGTTGAGGATTCAGATACCATGTGCAAAAGTAGGAGAATGAGAAGGCAGTATGGTATCTATGTATTTTTTTCCCCAATCTGTTCAGTAGAGGCAGTTACACTGCAGAAGGAGTTGGGTATGTCAGCACAGTAGCAGACAGAACAGCCTGGGTGAGTGGGTGCTGTCTTCAGCTGCTGCATGCACAGCACCCACTTGCTGGTGTGTGTCACAGAGGGAGACCTTGGAAAAATGCCTTCTCCAGCAGGACCAGAATTTATTCTGAGAACTAGGGTAATAAGTCCAGGAAGGATTTGATGGTAAATAAGGACCAGAGCCTCAGTAGCTCAGCTACAGAGAATTTTGAAGTTCTGCATGCAGATATCCCATGTCTGCAGAGGAAAGGGTTTTTAAGCTGCCTCCTATTTTGGGTCCTGCATGGGGGTGGTCCTGGGAGGGGATAGCTCTGCTTGAGTTGTGTGGTTTTGGCAGTCTAGCTGGAAAAGTAGGATGCTTTGGCCTGCTGCACTGAGAGATGCTGCACCAGCTGAGAGCTGTGGAGCTGAGCTTGAGCCGTGCTGTGTTTGTAGGTCGTGCGTGCACAGGCACGGGTTGTACAGCAAACCATGTCATGGCAGAGCTGCAAACACCACAGCCAAACCACAAGGCTCTCCCTCCACCTCCACTCCAAAAAAATCCCAACCCCCAAACCGGGCATGTTTTTTGAAAGGCAGATTTGAGGGGACTCCAGAAGGCTTGCTGCCACTTTTCAGGATTTTGCCTGCAGAAAGGGGAGGGTGATGAAGGGCAGAGGTGGTTCAACATCACTGACTGCAGGCCAGAACAGCGTGTGCTGGCTGGGAAGCTGCAGTGACTGGTTCTCAGCCTGCAATAGACCCACGGGTCCCCCAGCAGCTGACTGTGGGCCTGTGATCCCTGCCTGAGCCTGTCTTGGATTTTTTTTTCTGAGAAAAATGCGTTTGGAAAGAAAAAGCAATTAGGAAACCTGTCTGGCCATGTCAAGAGATGGAAGCTCTCTCTGGGGCTGAGCAGTGGTGGGGAGAGGCCTCCCCCAGACCCTGCCCTGCAGTGGCTGTTGCTGCTGCTCCCCGGGGGCTGTGCACAGCTGGCACAGCCCCCTCACCTCCCTGCTGCCCTGGCACCTCGGTGCAATCGTCCCTGGCAGTGCTGCACAGGGTGCCAAGGACATGGGTCCTGCTCTGGGAAACCTGGTGTCCCGGGACACAGATCTGTCACTGTGGCCTCCTGCTCCACGGCACTGAGGGGAACCACGGATCTCTGAGAGTGACAGGAATAATGGCACAGGTTCACCTTACCTATTTAACTCTTGTCATGGCTCTTCCCTGGGGAGAGAGATCTGAGACCTTTTCCCCTTCCAAGCCTTACTGAAGCTGGTCTGGAGATTCTCCAACTTGCACAGTGGAGGAAAAACAAGAGAAGCTAGCAGGATTTCAGGGATAATTTGGCTCGTGTTGTCTTACTGCAGAAAAAAATGCACATATTGGAAAACATGTGCTGGTAATGGCAGCCTTGAGTTCAGCTGTACTGGGCAAGTTCACATGGGAGAGCTTCTCTCAATGACTTATTGCCCTTAAATGTATTTATCCCTTTTGAGTGGGCATAGCTTTGAATCATGGAGCAGAGGCACAGCAAGCAGGGTACTGAATTTTTCCTTGCTGTGATCCTGGCAGGACATTCCTCCTGAGGGCAGCCAGTCCTTCCTTGGGCTATAGGATGTGCCTGCAATGTGTAGAAAGGAGACAACGTCTTTCTTTTGAGAGGTGTGCATCAGGTCAGACTGAGTACAGTGACCCAAGGTGGCACTGAACAGACCCTGAAGGGTACCTGCAGAAGTTCTCACCGTGTGCAGCACCCTGGAGCATGGGGGTTATTTGTAGAGTAAGGGGTCTGTGTTTTTAGGGCCCATCTTCTCTGAGTATGTAGTAGAAAAAACATCCCCTTGCTTTCTGAGCAGAGTTAACATCTGTGAACATCTCTCTTCAGATGCTAGAGACCCGACCCCCAAACCACCGGAAAGTTTCATCGCTCAGGGGAAAATGCAAAGGTGTTTCAGGCAGAGCCCTCCCCCAGCTCGCTCTCTTCCTTTCCAGGGCTCACAGCGGCCTCAAACCAGAGGTGCAGCTGACATGTGTGCCTCTCTCAGCCCGGGCTCCCAGCTGGGCTAGTGCTCACTGGAGGGACAGCACATCCAGGCAGCCAGGACCCTGCTCCCACCAGCTGAAGGAAGTCTGGGTCTGACCTTGGGGTTCGGTTCGCTTGCGAGTCGCTGGTGTCGTGCCCCAGGGGAGACTGATGCGTGCGTCACCTCACCTCTGCTGTTCTTTTTAGAGTAAGATGAAGGTGCTGCTGAG